TACTCCATAGATGAGATACAAATGACACAGATGTTAGTGGAAGGCTTTTAATGTGAAAATCTTACATGTGATTACTGCTGCACTGAGCCCTAATCACTGTGCTTGTGTCTGACTGGTCGCCTGCTGGTTTGTTTGTCAGTCGTCTTATTTCAGCATCTCGTCTGATTGAATTACTGCTGGGTGGCGTTCCTTGAAGGAAATGAAGCCGTGTGTGTTTGAATGAGAAAAGAACAAGTGGGCCGAGTCGCTCGTCATGCGGTTTGAAGCTTTTCGGTCGATCTTGAGAGTGTTTTAAAAAAAAAAGCAGCAATAAAGGAAAGTTGAATTGCGTTTGTGATTTTGTGGCTTTAGCGTGTTGAGTTGCTCCTCTTCGTGCAACCGTCCACTTTAAACTGTCTTGTTTGTTGGATTCTATCCATAAATCTGATTCCCCGTCAGCTAATCCGATAACAGCCCTCTGGTCTGGTCTTTGGGGACGAACCAATTAAACGTTACTAAGTTAGTGCCATGGAAATGACTGAGCCTATAAACACATCACTTTACCTTCAACGTCTAAGGAGTTTCCTGAAGCTTGCCTTTAGTTGCACAAAATAACTTAAGAGGCTGTTCAGATTTGTTGCTAAACCTGTCTTTAGTGATTGGATTGCAATCGGACGGCGCAAAATACAGTAATGTGCAATGAAACATTGAAAACATCTGAGTTGGTCTGGACCTCGTCTAACAACACAATCCATCCTGAGCCAAGCTCTAGGACCTCCTACGGAGATGACGTGAACCCACACGAGCAGCAGAATCGACGTTTTGAGATGAAGAAAAATGTGTTCATAATCATTCTCAACATAAAGGTCCATTTTAATGGTATTTTATTAAATAGAAGGGTTAGTTTCTGCTTGGTTCAACATTTTCTCTGATTGTTTTTGGACTTGCTGTGGTCACTGTATGCCTACATAGCTGCTCCAACAGGAATAACTGGGTTAACTTTTTTGTTTTGGTAATGCTTCATACTGGACGACGACCTCCATTATCCTCCATTTGACGTACAACACGCGCTACAATGTGGCTGGATCAGGGAAAATATGGAAAATACTTGTAGTACGAAGCCCAAGACCAGGACCAGAAGGTTTCCAACATGTTGACACATGGTGCGAACTACAACTCAAAAGAAACAGAAGATTTGACAAATGGCAGTGATCTCCAGGAGAATCAGGTTTATAGGGTTTAGGAGGATTTAAGGGAGGGATACAGGTGAGCTGATTCGTAACAACAAGAGGTAAAAAAGGGGAGATAAAAGAAAACATATTGCCAGAACTACAAAAAAGGGCAAGATACGACTACAGTAGTCCCTCACTTAACATGAGGGTTACGTTCCAGACATCCCCGCGTAGGTGAAAATCCACGAAGTAGAGATGTTATATTTTTATATTATATTTTTTTTGCATAATTTGCATGCACTGTGGCTTATAGGTTGAAGTGACTTATTTATGGATTTTTCCCATATTTTAAACCAATTAGTGGCTGAGATATGACCGTTTTCATTCATTCTGACTGAAAAAAAAAAAGAACAGTACCACATTCAGCCACTAGATGGCAGCAACGTAGTAATAGCAGTAAGGCATGCCGTTGTATCATGTAATAGGTTAACATGGCTATAATGACAAATTCAAAAACGTTCACGACAAAAACAACTGGACTTTATTAAACTTTATACTTTATTGTTTTTTTTCTTGAACGTTTTTGAATTTATCATGTCCTGGATGACTGAGAATCTTCACCAGCAATTAATGACGCATTCGGCTTGCCGTAGTCTTCCACCTTCGTTCTGCTCGCTGCTTGGAGCAAGTCAAACCAGCTGCACCACCCCGGCGAAATGCAGCTAATTTGAACATTAAAGTGCATTTATTAAGTAAAAGTTCAACTAAAACACACCTTTGCTATTATTTCAAGCAAACACATAATTAGGTGCTTATCTTGTTAAATTTCGAAGAAACGCGCAGTGTTCCTCCTTATTTTTTCCTCCCCCTCTTCACACTCCCGGGAGCACCGAGGCAGCGAATACTCTTGAAATGCATCTGATTTGACGTTAATGTCCTTTTATTAAGCAAACATTAGACTGAGACACACCTTTACTATAAAGTCGAGCAAACAAATAATTGCTTTTAAATGTTAATCTTGTTAAATTCTTGTTAAAGTCCTCCCGTGCACGCTCTCACGGACGCCATTTGGCAGCCAATCGATTTTTGGCACAACACCGGCCCACATTTCCGAGTTGTCAGCGGTGACGCATAATAGATGCAATGTATGTGGCGAAGCAACATATTTATGGATTTTTCCATTTTATTAGACAAATATGGACTGATGCGACTTATAGGGCGGTGCGAAGTGTACGGCAGAAAATAGGGTATATATATATATTTTAAGGCTTTATAAACCCTCACTCCTGCAACATGCTTAACAATGTTCTGAACTCTTTTAACGCTCTAAAGGAGCACAGCAAGAGAGAGCAGACAGACTGATGCTACGGTTAATGAGCCTATCAGTGCCCAGGGTTCAGAGCACAATGCTCTGGTTCAGTGGTGGACTGGCCATTGGGAGCACCAGGACATTTCCCGGTGGCCTGGCCAGCTCAGTGATCACCGAGGGGCTGGACCAAATCTTACGCAGATCTCTGTACGTCCATCTTTTCTCCGGTTTAGTTCGGTTTTCTCCGGTTTACAATCTTAAGTGAGATTGCGAAAGTGAGTCCGCGAAAGGGCCTTGCTCAAGGGTACAGAGTGGGGAAAATCAGGATAGAGGCAGGTGTGGGTGCTTCACCTTTCCCGCCCACATTTTGATATTGTTAGTCTGGGGAATCGTAGCGTGACATTCCAATCACAAGTCCACCTACTCTAACCCAAAACTCACAGAACACAGGGTAAGAAAACTCAGAAACCCTACAAATAAAGGTCTAGCATCCTGTGAACAAAAATACACATTGTCCACCACGTTTCATGGCACACTGAAGACCAGGACCATCAAATGTGGAGAAGTGAGAGTTATAATCGCTTTGGTCAAATCTATGAATATAACGTTGGGCTTGTTGTGCGTTAGTCCTTTTTATTTTTTTTGAACAAAGATTGATTCTCAAACTGTTAAAGGACATGTTTACTGAGAGTCCTCCCACTCGCAGCTGCTCCCCACAAAACAAAACCAGCCTGCATGTGTCATTTCATATGTGTGGACTCACGTATCTCTGTTCATGAGCGTATGTGGATTTCATTGCGCGTGTGTTGTCTTCCTGCGTCTCATTTTTTATCCTGGAGCTATACCTGTCCAGCTACTTTCTCTTTTTATTAAGACATGTCCTCCTAGGGGACGCTGCTCGTCTCTGCGTGTTGGAGGTCGCAATCTGCTTCTGCTGCTCAGCTGAGTGGGACCCCGTACGCCCAAAGCAGAACTCAAAGTATTTGTTTCATGAGATAATCAACCTTCTGAAAAAATAAAGAAAAATGGCAGCATCTTTCATCAAGGAGAGGTCAGAGACGTGAGAGGACAGAGGAGGATGTCTGGTCCCGTCTTGAATTGGGCCGACTCCAAAGGTTGACCAGTCTAGACATATGTCCAATAACTCTCCGCGTGTTTTGTTAAAAACGGTCCACTGGGTTTTGACAGCATGGGGCTGAGTTGTATCTCTTCTTGTCTGGAGCAGCTCGCTGTATAAACTAAAGTAAAAATCTGAACTAGGCTGGAATGAACATGCCCAGGAACTCCATGCTGAGGCTAAATCTCTGAATAGAAACAAACCAATGCCAATTTCAAAACGTTTTATTCAAAGGAACAGAGATCCGCTGAGGTCTAACTCACTTGCAAGGAAAATACCAAACAACCGTGTTGATTCGTGGAAATAAACTAAAAGAATGAATACTTTTAAAACATTTTTACTGGCAAATGTGACGTCAAAAACTTAAAAAAGAAACATGATCAAATTTGATAATTCATCACCCGACTAGTTTTGTTTAAAATACATCCAGTTTGAAAACTCGACTTTTGTTGGTCTGGAGTGATGTCAATGGGAATTCCAGTTGTATATTAAAAAACAGGAAACTCAAAAGCGTCACAATGACCCCAAACATTATAGGAAGGGATTTCCTGGTGGTACAGCACAGGCTGAGAAAAATTGTCAATTAAAAAAAATAAAATAAAAGAATACTTCTGAAGACAAAACGTTTTGATTTAAAGGTAGGAAGATGGACGATTATATTCTATTTTAGTTACTCTGTCCACGTCTTGCCATCTGTTTTTTAGCTGTTATGCTAGTGCTCGTTAAAAAAAATAACCGTGGCTAAATTAATGTCAAAGATAATTACTGCAGTATTTTATCCAAAGTTTTGGAACAGATTAACCCCAATAGAATCGACATTTTGTCTTGACCTCTAATAATTTAGTTTGGTTTTAAATCTAAACATGGTTCAAACTTTTGTATTTTTGGTTTAAATAAATTTTAGATCTGTACAACAGGCATAATTACACACTTTAGCTTTTAATTTCAATATAAGGAATTAGTAACATGGATTTTTTGTTGTTGTTGTTGTTGTTTCTCATCTCTATGGACCTACATGTGTTTAAAATCCAAAGTAGTAATTGCCAACAGTCGTGCAAACGAACACAATTAAATGATTGCTCACCAAATATCTAGTTTTGACCATCAGCAGCTAAAACTATAAATGTAGACACTATATCTTAAAGGCAGTCTAAATCTTTATTCATGATGTTTGTTGCTGAATGTGTTTAGTGAGGTGAAATGTAAAGGTTGAGTCGTTTCCTTCTTAAACTGTCCAGCAGTTTATCTCCTGATGGAGCTTTTGTTGCCAAAAATCAGTTTTTCGGCTCCTGCTTATTTAGCAACCGAAGTCTTGTGTTCCTCTCATCTGGGGTGTATAAATGAACCTCTGTTAAAGCTTTCACCAGCAGAGTCGTGCTGAGTTTGTAATTAATTTCTGCTGTGCCTTTGCCCGTGCCTCCAGATGGCCCCGTGATCTGGCGGATGCTGACCTACCCGCCGACTCGACGAGCTCTCCTGGTGGGCTGCGGGCTTCAGATGTTCCAGCAGCTTTCTGGAATCAACACGGTCATGTGAGTGTTAAAACGAGACGGCTCTGGACCTGGGCTGTGATGATGCACCCTTTAGGACATTTCCACTTAATGCAACTAACTGAAAGGTTGTTGAAACAACCAGAAAACAAATACTGAGGGAAATGGGACAGTGCTTGCCACTTTTAGCAGTCTCCAAACTAATGCCACGCCAAATTTTAGCTCAATAACAACATGGATGAAATTATATTTGAAGAAATAGACTTTGTGAGGGCAGCCAAAATGGAAAAAAATGCTAAAGGAAAACATAATAAGTTATCAAATATTTTGATTTAGATTTGAATACAGCCTCATAAATAGCGATTTCAAATTCAGTATGTTTTCAGAATGTCCCTCCTCTTTTGATTGACACCTCTGTCAACTAGGTTGATCTTTGGTCTTTCCAGACCTAATAATATCCGCAGAGTGCTAACGACATGCTAGTTAAAGTTAATTTTGACAGCTGAAGTTAAAAATTCAGAGTGCTACACTAACAGAGAGCCAAAAGCATCCAACTTAATTTGGGTCTGCTTTTTTCAGATGTTGTAGGATTTTTTGGGGAGGACTGTTAAGGGGTCATGCAGCAGGCGCAAATAAAATTTTTCATTTCAAATCTTTTGTTAGATCACACGAACGCCACACTACCACAGAAAGGTACTAAACATGCCATGCTGCGGTCTCCTTCAGCCTCAGGATGGATCAAACCTAGAGAAATTAGCATTTTCTGATAAAATGCTGTAAACTGAATGACTTAGCTGAAATTTGCTGAATGAGTTGAAGCTGAGATGCTAAAGCTATAAAACAACAAATAACTAAAAGCTGAATGGAGAAAAAACACTAGATAGAAGCAAAAGTAGAACAATGATAGCAAAAGTTGCCAAAATAGCTAGCTAAAGGCATGAAAAAACACAAAGTAGCTAAAAGCTATCTAAATGTAGCAATGGACTAGCTAGAAACTAAATGTAGCAAAATGCTAGGTAAAAAACTACAATAGCAAAAGGGTTGTTAAAAGTAGCCAAAAGGTAATTAAATGTAGCAGACTAACTAGAAGTTGAACAAAAGGTAGCTAGAAGCTAAAAGTAAAATGAGACACTAAAATTAGTAAAATGCTAGTGAAACATTGCCAATACAAGCTAAAAGCAAAAAAAGATTAGCTAAAAGGTGAAAGTATTAAAAGGCTAGCTAAAAGTAGCAAAACACTACGTAAAAGTTAAAATGAAAGAAAAACTACAGCTAGATGCTAAAAGTAGCAAAATGCTACGGAGTGGTTACTTATATGAGCTAAAAACAAGAAAATGAGCTGAAAGTTACAAGCAATAAAAAGCTAGCTAAAAATAAAAAAGGCTAACTAAAGCTAAAAGTTGCAAAACGCTAGCTAAATTCTAAACTAACCGAAAGCTAGCTGAATTTATGAAAAGGCTATCTAAAAATTAAAACTAGCTTTAAAGAACAATAAGTAGCTGAAGCAGATTTAAAAGAGAACAATGGTTTAGACTGAATTGACGAAATCTTAATGCATTTCTATTAAAAAAAAAGTAAATTAAGTTGAATTAAAAAACGTGTTTTTATAGTTGTAAAAACTGAAAGTTGCATTTTTCATCTCCTGAACGAGCCGAACGTTTTGATACACGAAAAGCCAAAATAGCACAAAGTCTGCAGAAGTAGTTGGATTGCAAAGAAAAACAGGGAAACAAAAACGTGAACTCAGCAATAGGTGTAAATGTGCCCGAACGTTCAACAAGAGATCCAGGCGGCTGCGTTAAGCTCAGAAACACGTTATTAAATATGTTCTTTGGACTTTCGGAGCGCGCCGGTCACCTGGGAGCGATAACCTCCCTGAACCACTGCCCACTTGGCGGTGGATGGACACATCGTCGTTTTCTCCTTCAGTCCTCTTATCTCTCCGTCGGAGGAGATTGTGTCATCCGTCATCCCCCCCTTCCTGCGCTCCCTCCATATCTGAGATATTACAAGGCTTTGTAAACATTCTGCGGACGTGAGCTGTTGCTTAGCAACCGGAGGAAGGATGAAAGCAGTCAGCTGAGCGTGCTTGGGGTTTGTCTGCACGTATGTGTGACTTAACGGCTGAAATGTGAAACTACAATCTTTTTTTTTTTTTTTTGGTGGGAGGTGGAGTGGAATGCACGTGTGTGTGTGTGTGTGTGTGTGTGTATCGGATAAGTTCTGGCGTGTGTGTGTTTGACAGTTTTATACACAAAAAGATAAGTAGAGGGTGAGAGTTCAAACAGAATATCAGCTGTTATCGGTCGAGGTGAAGCTCAGAATCCGTCCCTTTGCTTCGTGTGAGTGTGAGCGTCTTTATATTGATCGTCGGCTCCTTCGGCTGTGCGTTTATCTTCATCGCCTGTCGCCAACTCACGGATCGGCAGAAGGGGACAAACTATATCTGTCACTATCCCCCTCCACCTGTCTCACCGGCTTATGAGTCTGCCATTCTTCGAGTCTGCGTGCTGGGTCAGCTGCGTCGACAGTGACCCATTTTCACCGAGCGTCACTGCACTTCCATCAAGATGGTGTCGTGTTTGCACCTGACATTAAAATGTGTCTGCAGGGAGAATTGCAACCATCATTTAAGACCTAGCAAACCTTGGAAATAACGTTACGATCTGGTCGTGCTTAATGTATGTGTTGCGACTGACCATCTGCTACTACCACACCACATTTCAGCTCAATATCTGTGAAACTGACTGAGGATAGTGGTGGATGCGTAAGCTAAGGCCGGTTAGTTGTGGGAGCCGTAGGAGACAAGAGAAGGAGAGGCGGATGCCAAAGTCCAAGCCCATGAATTAAACACTCATGATGCTCTCTTCGATGGCTCTCTTCGATTGTCCTGAATGCTCTCTGCCAACTCTGCCCACCGCCAGCACGTAAAGACCCGTATACAGGGCTGCAGCCGGGAAAACCTCCGACTGCTCCATCATGGCTCGTGGCAAACTAACCAGCTCTGTAATTGTTTGGCTCCAATTAATGTCAGATCCCATCAGAGTAAGACTTTAATCATGAATTACTTTTTCTCCGGTAATTTCCTGGATCATCTTCTAACAGAAACGTGGATGAAACCAGGTGAAAGCGGTGCCTTCGTGGAGCTTCCCCAGCTTGAATGTTCTTGTTTCAGCTCCTCTCGTCTCACTGGCCATGATGGAAGCGTTGTCCGTATTCCAAGGCAATTTTAAACGCAGGCTTTCAACTCTCACCTGTTGGTTGTTGGAAAGGGTTGTATAAATAATTGTCAATTGACTGATACATGTTACATTTGTGGAACAATTTCTTTTTACATGGCCAATAGTTTGATGCCAGCCTGGCATCACTAAAGATAACGTCTGCTTGAGTATTTGTAAAAGGTCATGTTATTTTCTTGCAGTGAGTCATGGGCATCAGGTCTGATAACTAATTTTCCAAGTGAGTCATTTTCTTTTAGTTTCTTTAAATCCTCAAATTTATTGCCCGAAATCCAAAACAAAAAGTCAGGCTTGTTACTGAAATACCTCAGAAAACATTGGGCAGACTTTAATTTAACTTTATCTATTATCTAAAAAAATTAAATAAAATAAAAACCCACAAAGATGACTGTAACTCAGTCAGTTTTACAGATATTGACTTAAATGTTGGCGTGTTATTATCAAGATTCTGTGGTTTTTGGTGTTGAACCCAAGTGCAGGCGGACCACGGAGACTCGGAAGTAGAATAAAGAACTAATTTATTTACGATAACTAAACAAAAGCTGACGGGGCAGCAAACTTACTTCTTCAAGGAGACAGAGGGAGAACAGAACAGAACATACCGGACGATCCACGGATAAATGAGGAGACACAAAGACGCGGAATATAAAGGAACACCAAGAAAGACGATGAAGAACACCTGGGGTGATTGCGGATAGAGGACAGGTGTGACAGGAGCTGGCAACATGAGGGAGAGCAGGAAAACACTAAAATTGCAAAACACACAGAGCCTCTCAGGTAGTAGCTGAGAATGATCCCTGATAAACTTAGCAAGGAATGCTAAACTTTAATTGAGAAATTGTATGTTAATCACGCATCATCAGTTTCGACCAGTTAAATCTCATGTCAGGCAAAAAGTGAGCTTATTAGGTAGCATTAACAAAAAATGTCTTATTTTAGGTCAATAATAAGCATAAGTAAAAATGAAAGATCATTTTAGATGTGAAGTGCAACACAATTAACGACACCCACGCTGTGCCGCTCCCGATCAGTTACTGTAATGACTTCTTACACCTAAATGTTGAATGAACCACATTTGTATTTGAGTCAACTCAATACATTGTTGATTACATTAACACGTCCCTTTATTTTTATTAATGTAGTGCATTTTCTGTCCAGAAGTGATGGCAGTAAGGAAGCAATTAGGGTTTCCATGGCATGCGGACTGAATGATCAAAGAACTGAAATCCTGACCCTCCAATTAGTCGATGACTTCTTCTACTTCTTGACTGACAAGCTTTCACATAGAGTTATACACAAAATAGAAATGCATTCCTAATAATCTGAATAGTTCCTCATTAAGTTAAACATAAAAGTGCTAAAACAACAAACACAAATTGTGCTGCAGTGTCCAAACTTTGGTGGCGATGGTGCACGGGGTTCTTTAATTGGGTGCATTCAGTAGAAAAATCGAGACAAAAAGTGAAAGTTCTGTAAATGGCTTCAAGTTGGAGCAGACGTAGAGTTTTCTGCAGTAAGGACTCTCTGCTATACTTTTTTGAAGAACATAATAAAACCTGAATAGTGATGTGCTGTTTCTAGCACATGCTTACCTGATGTGTCAGGTGGTTTGAAATAAATGGTTTGGATAAAGCATTTGTCACGACCGAATTACAACAAATGACCTCTCTAAAAAGCTACAACTACATCCAAGAATTGAGTAAAACAAAACAGCAGGTGCTGTTGTTGTCCGGTAAAACCCCACCACTGTTTCCAGTGTAGGACGCCTCAACTTTTATGTTGGATAGCTTCAGGGGAAGCTGT